CCCAACACACCTACCGACAAATGGACAAGCAGAGGTCATGGTCAGAACAATGCTACGCAACCTAAAGACAAGGCTTGAAAGAGCGAAGGGTCTTTGAGTAGACGAGCTACCTGGAGTATTGTGGGCCTATCGAACCATACCAATAACTCCTACTGGGGAGACCCCTTTCTCCCTCGCATTTGGAACTGAGGCGATCGTCCCTGTGGAGATCGGGGTACACTCTCTAAGGGTCCAGCACCATAACCCCATCACCAACGAAGAAGGACTCCGTATAAAACTTGACTTGGTGGAGGAGGCAAGGGAGATGGTTGTGGTCCGCAACACGGAGTACAAACGATGCATAGCGAGGTATTATAACTCGAGGGTGAAGCCTCATTCCTTCCAACCAGGGGATTGGGTTCTTAAGAAAGTGATCCTCACCACAAAAGATGCACGCGAAGGAAAGCTGTGACCAAATTGGGAAGGACCCTACCTCATAACAGAGGTGGTGAAGTCGGGCACCTACAAGATCTAGAATTCTAAAGGAAAAGTCTTACTCCATCCATGGAATGTAGAACACTTGAAGATGTATTATCAATGGCACCCTGAGAGCATCAAAATAGTGGAAGTTGGGACTTGATTTTATTTGTTGGGGTTATTACCCAATATTCAATGTACCTTTTTGAGAATTATTACCCAATATTGCTTTAAATAAGCAAAAGATTAATAAAAAATTTTACATTTTTACTCCAAAAAGATCTTTTGCATTTCATTTCAAAGGAGTATCAGTACAAAAATGAGGCTATAAACTGCCTTTCTTAAAAAAATCAAAAGTCCTAAACACTCTAACTGCTCTAATGGTCGTCCTCTGCCTCCTCCTTGTCATCCTCGACATTATCAGAGTCCCCCTCATTATCATCAGTAGGCACGAAACCTGAGAAGTCAATGTCAGAACAAGCAGCAGAGATCTTCCCTCGAAGTTCCTCGAAACCATCAATGAAAGCATCTGCGACTCTGCCTCCGCAACAGCAGCCTCTCTAAGCATGGCCCTTTCATGAGCCTCTGCAAGCTCAGCCTCCCTGAGCATGTTCCTCTCGTGGATCGTCAGAAGCTCAGCCTCAAGTTTAGTCGCCCGCTCACAGGCCTCAATAAGCTTACCCTCCCTAAGCGCGTCCCTCTCACGGATCACCAAAAGCTCAGACTCAAGTTTTGATGCCCTCTCATGAGCTGCCACAAAGCTCATCCGGAGAAGTACTACCAACTGCCTCAAATTTGGTAATCCTCCCCTGAGCAATAAGAATCTCCCTTTGCACGACGTCAAAATCCAGCTTCAGCTTGTCTTGATTATAGGCCTTTGAAATCAAGCAGACGAATGAAATCGAAACCTGAAGAAGATGAAAAGTGAAATGGCAACAAAAGACGTAAGAAAAAAATGGAGAAAGGGAAATAGCGGACCCTTACTTGAGCTAGGCCACCAAAATATGTATTGACAATCCTTTCAGTACCAGAAGTACTAAGCTGATAAACTTCGGGTGCGAACACTAATCTCCCAAGCCTTTCTCTAATGACTGGTGGTCTGCCCATCATGGGACCGAGCCAAGTGGGTCCTCTAGCGGAGGTTCCCGCATGAGGAGGGGACAAAGGAGAAGCAAAGGGTGTGCCTGACAAGGAAAATTCTGGAGTAGCAACTGAGGAAGTCACTGGCTGAGGAGGTACCACCGTAGGAGTCACTTGAGGGGCATCACCCGTCCTCGTCACCTTGGAGGAAGGAGGACTCCTGCTAGAATAACGAGACACTACCACCCTTTTACTTGTTACGAAAATAATAAAGTGTTAGGGAGGTGACAAATACCAAGGGGAAGGAAAATTAAAAGAGGAAACTAACTCACCCCTTTTCTTTGAAGAGGAACCACCAGATTTCTGAGAGGGAGCAACGAATCTAGTATCCTTGGGCAAAAGAGCTTCCAAATCTTTGTAAGGGCAAGCCTTGACGACCTCCAACTTCGACTCTTGGTTTTGAGAAAGCATAGGCGTGTCTGCAAGGGAATGGTGAACACACATATAAAAAAAAAAAATAAGAAGAAGCAAATGTGCAGCGTACCGGATTTTCTAGCAGCACCCCAATGTATTGGCACCAAAGCTTTATCGACTTCTGCAGCCCACTCTTCACCAACAAAGAAGAAACAAGATTTTTCAGCCGCAACAATTGGAGCGCATTCTCGTGAGCACCGTACCACCCCCTATTTGGTATAGGAGTTTCACTCAAAATGTATGCTGCATGGAACTCCACAGGAGAAACATCCTCATGGTGCATTTTTCTCCATAATGCAAGAAAGCCCAGTAGAACTCTCCAACCATTGGGCGCTAATCGCCCTAGAGTCAAGAAAAAATAATGTAAAATACGGCAAATGGGAGGGGACATGGAGAATCTTAGCCCAAGCTCAAGCATTTCCTCGTAAACAACAATATCACCAGATGAGGCATTGTAATCAAGCTCACCTGTCTTAGCCCGACGACATAGCATAGTCGGAGGAATACGATAAGTAGAAACAAGCCTCAAGATATCTCCATCCGCATTAAACAAACTAGAAAGGGTACTCACCTTAGACCCATCGTCATCAAGTCCCAGTTTGCCTTTTCGCTTCTTCTTTCGAGGCCGTAAGGAGTGGCCCGAGTTATCGTCTTGAGGGATTTGGCTTTGAGAAGTCACATTTGAAGGAGTCAGATCGTGATGACCAAAAGTGGCACCCAAAGCTTTCTCGTCGCCTGCAGTGCTTAGCCCAACACCTGGAGGGGTGCCTGACGCTCTATGCTGCTCCTAAACGAGACAACCCAAAACCTGGATAGGTGCCTAGCCGCCTCTGCCCGCCAAAATGGGACAGCCTAGCACTCCAAAGTTGCACAAAATAGCTCCAAAGGTGCTTGGGTCAGCACCTAAAGAGGTGCCCTGATCTGTCCTTGCGCCCAGGCTGCTGCCCAGCTCCCCTACTGTGCGCCTGCTGGCCTGGGCAGCCCCCTTTTTAGTCTGCACATCGCTGTCCAGCCCGCCAGATTACACTCGAGTGTTGTCTAGTCTGCCAGACTGCTCACGCGTGTTGCCCAGTCCGTCTGCCTGCGCGCCTGTGCTGCCCAGTTTGCTTGTCTGTGCGCATGCGCTGTCCAGCCTCCCCTTGTGCGCGCTGTCCAACCTGTTTGTTCACGCGTCTGTGTTGTCCAGCCGACTGGTTTGCGAACTTGAGCTGTCCAGCCCACCTTTTTTGGCACCCAAGCTGTCTGGGACAACATTTTCGGCACCAAAGCTGTCCAGGACAGCACCTCTAGCACCCAAATGGTCCAGACCAGCCTCTAAACTTCCCAAACCAACGCCTAGAATGACGCCCTGTTTAGTCCCTGCCTCCATGGAACACGCCACTGCAATGCCCGATGGACTAGCGTGCCCAACTGCCCCACGCGCAACACCAGCGCCCAAAGGCAGTAGCTCCGTTGCCTGAGGCCTTAAATCACCAGTAGGAACCACGGGCTCCCCTATTTTCGGCATCCCAAGCTTGGACAACCCATTGGGTGCATGAATAACAGTGGCAATGGGTGCCCGAGACACCTCCATGCCGCTACTTACCTCCTCTTCAATAGCAATGTTGGTTTTTCTCTTCATTGATGCTCCAACTCAAGAATCTCAAGCTTTGGGTCTCCAAGGATTTCAAAAAAAAAAAAGGCATTCATGAATAAGTTGGAAGGAGTGGGATAGAATGAAGAAGAAGGCTATATTTATAGCCTAGGATTTTTAAAGAGGGAAAAGTCCAAGTTAAAAATTATGGGCTCTCTTGAAAATCCTAGCAAAAGTGGGAAAGATTTGAGATGTGCACCAAAGCAAAAATACATCATGCAGAGAAAGAATCATCCAGCAGAGGAAGTCTCCACCACAGAGTAAGTTAATGCACCCTTCTCCAAGTCTCATTGGACACGGGGCATTGGAGGACAAATGATGGGTCAAGCCTAAATAGCCCAATTTATGTGAGAAGTCCAATCCCAATTGAGGAACCCAACCACATGAAAGATCTACTAAGTCCATCATAGTCCAAGATCAGTCAAACTCTCTGCTTGACTACGTCATCAAGAGGGAGAGCATGAGAGCCCTACCTACACTGCAGAGGTAAAAGTCCTCAACCTACTCACCTTATCTTTGACCGTATCTCAAAGATAACTCCTCAACCTCCTCGCCCATTGAGCAGAAGTGGTGAGCTCCACTAGAGTAGTCGCTTAGTTGCTATAAAGTAGCCCCAATCTATTAGGGGACCATTATAAATTGCACGCCCCACCAATACTTGGGGGGCAACGCATTTTACCTGAACACGACTCTTTCATTTCCTTTAAAGCTTGCACTCTTTGTTTCCCACACCCTTGAATTATAAAATACTCGACAACCGAAGTCATTAAAGAATGAACATAGATCGAACTGACCAAATTACTATAAATTGCCTATGTTTATCTATCTCCTCATATTATTTTTTTATATTTTTTATTAAAATTTGACAGATGATATACAAAATCACTTTGTGCATCGTCAAGTTACATGTTGGCCCAATTCTTTCCCCAGGCCCAAAAGGGAAGCACAACAAGCGTGTGGAGTTGACGGGGGCGGAGAGCACCACACGTGTAGCCGCAAGGCGGGCCTGTGAGTGTGACAAATTTTTTTCTCCCGCCAGTGCACCGAAATGAAAACGAAAATCCCACTTAAAATCTCGCTTCTCTTAATTTACCCCTACTTTCTGGCCTAATTTACACTCTGTTCCATCCTTCCTCGAGAAGTTTCATACAATCTCAGTCCCTGCAACTTCCCAATCACAATACCATCACTGCCATTAATTGACTTCTTTCAGTTCAGTCTCTCACTTCTCTTCCAGTAGGAGAGCTAGGGTTTTATAATTCACCCCCATAGAGCAATATCTTCCCCAATCCAATTCTTTTCTTGGTCTCCTCGACAGTTTTACTGATATTTATTCTTTCAGAACCAATTAGATTCAATGTTGGAAAGCAAGAGTAATGTCGTATATGACCACCCATCCAAAACTTTCATTGGCGTCCGCTTTGTTCTCCTTGGATTCGATCCCATCCTCAAAGACAAGGTCTCTCTTTCTCTTTCTCTCCCGCTATATTTGTATGAAATTACAGTATCTCGTTTTGCTTTTTCGTTTAATTTGATGCCTAGGTATAGCATATTCTTGAACCGACATGTGTTGGAGCGAACAAACTGTGTAATATATAAATTAGTTTCGATATCTGTAGGTTCGGTCGAGGCTTGTTAATGGCGGAGGGGATGATGTTGGTAGTTATGGACCCAACTGTAGCCACGTAATCGTTGATCAGCTTGTTTATGTAAGTATCATCCCCGCTTGTCTCCAGTTATTTGCATACCCTATTGTTATCATTTCAATTGAGTTCCTGTTTATGTTCCTCCTCAAGGATTCATAGTTGTCATTTTTATTAGCGTTGGATTTTGTGTGGCGCAGGATGATCCTATGTGTGTTGCTGCTCGAAGTGATGGAAAGACACTGGTCACTAGCTTATGGGTTGACCATAGTTTTGATGCTGGAATGCCTGTTGATCCCAACCATGTCAGTCTTCCATTTTACCCATTGCGTTGTATCCTGGATGCCAACATTTATGTTTCTATTCAAAGCTCTTATAAACTAGAAAATTCTTAAAAGCCACAATTGATTGCTTATAATATTCCTATACATCACTTAAGCATGTTTCATTGCTGATGGATGATTTTCTGTTTTCTTACAGGTCATGTACAGACCTTTAAGAGATTTGAATGGAATTCCAGGTGCCAAAACTTTAATTGTTTGCTTGACTGGGTACCAGAGGCATGATCGAGATGATATTATGGTTTGCGACTGCCTTTGTGTTTACTGTTCTGATAGTTGATTGTTGTGTATCATCCAAACTCCCAGCTATATTATTATTTTCTGTAATGTATTTGAGAAAGAAGGTAGTGGAAAGAGTTGCTTCACTGCCTGATGCATCGGTTTTGGTTTTCTTTTCTTACCCAGACAATGGTTGGCTTGATGGGTGCAAACTTTTCAAAGCCACTGGTTGCAAACAAAATTACTCATCTTATATGCTACAAATTTGAGGGTGCGTGTTTTCTCCTTTCCCATCAATTATAGTCTATTGTATCGGACAATAATGGAGTTTGTTCATGTATTTTCATTCCTAATGTAAAATATATGTTTACTCTTGATTTTATCCCCAGCAAAATAAGTTACTCTTCATCTGCATCTGACAAACCAATTGTGAACCATCTTATCCAAAAAATATCAAAATTACTGATTTCTAAACAAACTCAGTCCATCAATATAGACACTTCCATAGCCAAATCTAAAATGATAGTATTAAAGTTATGAACTCTATCATCCTGATAAAGGGTGGTAGTTGAAATATATAACAACTCAGTCACTCTGCATGGCCATGGGAATATTTTGTTGCTCAATTGTCCATAAATTTTGTTGGTTATTCTTTCACTTGCTTGACATTGTTATTTTGAATACTGCATTTGCATCAACTTAGCTTGTAGTACTTACTTCACCACTATCAAATTAAAACAAGAATTTTCACCTTTAATAGGGGAGAAGTATGAGCTTGCCAAGAAAATCAAGAAGATAAAGCTTGTCAACCATAGATGGTTGGAGGACTGGTACGTCTAGGCTTGTTATTTTGCTGGTGAATCATCATAACGTGTACTGTGCGTTGAGAAATTTATTATTTAGACTGGTGAATAACATTCAGTCATTTTATTCTTCCTATTTTTGGAGTCACATCAAGCTGATACCCCCCCCCTCCTCTTTTCTTTTGTTGCCCTTTCAGTTTAAGGACCTGGGAAATTCTTCCAGAAGCTAATTATGATAAGAGGTGAGATCTGACTTTGTAATTTTCTTGTTCTGCGCTGAAGTGTGCATCTGCATGCATGTTCACATATAGGTATCAATATCAGTTTACCAAGATTTACTGCTCATATCCTCTATGCCCACAGAATTTAAGCTCGTAACCAATTGTCTTTTAGACTTCTACACATATTTACATCCAGCAATTTGCTTTATTCTTCTTATTTTCCTTGGCTTCCGGTTGCAGCCACCTTGTCATCTGCAAGTTTACTGTTTCTGTTATGGAGCTTGTTGAATATGAGTGCTTCATCTGTTATTTTTTTTGTGATTGTACAGTATTATTTAGTACTCACTCTGTTCATGAGAAAATGACAAATACAAACCATGCCTTTTGAAAGATAGGACTAAAGAAAGACAAACATATGAAATACACATTCTCTCTTTCTTTACAGTGGATATGAGATGGAGATGATGGAGGCTGAAGCAAAGGATTCAGACGAAGAAGCAGAAGAAATAGCTACAAAGCAATATGAACAAAGAAACGTATTGGCTAGTCCGCAAAATTTGCAAATGGGAATGAAAAGTCCTCATAACTCTGTCATATCAAAGCAAGAAGTATCAAAAAACTTGTTAACTTCAAGTCCATCTCAAGGCTTCTCTAATGTTGGCCACACTTGTGACATCGTGTCAGGCATTGGAAAAGAGACCAAATCTGATGAAGCCTCATATTTGTATGAAATTCATAATAAGCATTCTGAGGTACTTGTATCTCTTGATGTTAGAACTCCTAGGGGTGTTTCTTGTATTAAGCCATCAGATCCATGTGATGCAATACTAATTTCTCCAAAATCTGGAAATGGCTTCGCTTCTACTCCTGGAAGTGCTGAGAAATCTGATGCAGCAAAGTTAAGTGCCATAAGTTACTCGAGGAAAACCCCAAGAACAACCACTCCTTCAATGTTCCCAGGAGACAAGGTGAAAAATATGTCCAGCGCATGTGCACTAAACACTGGTAAACTTGATGTTAGTGAGAGTCTTAATATCTCTTCCTCTGTGACTGAACAAGATGGAATTATTCTTGGTTGTGCCGAAATTCCTTTAGGGGAAACTGAGTTACATGCCAAAGAGGGACACAGTGGTACATTGCCAGAGAAGAGGAAGATAAATGTTTCCGATTGTAGTTCCAAATCACAAAAGATAATTCATAATCCAGCACACTTCTCAGAACATTCATTACTGGTGAATAGAAGTGGAGGTTTGGGAGCCGCATCGTTACCAGATGGTACACTTGAAGCAACTAATCATCTTTTCCTTGGTGATAATGCCCATTGTATGGACGAGATTGCTGCTTTGAATCCTTCGAAAGATTCTCCTAACATTTCACGACAGACATCCGTAAGTTTTTATCGAAAGCTGGGGACATGTGATAGGCCTATCTCAAATACCGTTTCCTCAGAGATGAGGAAAGATGGCAGTGGGAAGGAGGTACCTCAAGGATTTATTATGGAATCAAAAGAGACCATATTGGACTGTAAGCCTGGCAGTAAAGATGCTGGTGTGAGTGGAGTAGAACATTTTGGAGGTGAAGTTGGGTTGTCCCAGAAGGAACTGCAAGATATTGAAGTCTCATCACCTATAACTGAAAGATTAGAGATCAGAAAATCCAACAGTCCTGCTAATCTGGATTTGCTTAAAGGAGGAAATGATTCCCATTCAAAAACATATAGGAAGAAGATGATTGCCAAAAAGAGATTGGGCTCTAAGCCAAATTCAGGTACAGGGTGCACAGCAAATCAGAAAGGTTCTATATATCTTAATAAAACTGCCCGGACAAATGATGTTGAAGTCTCCTCAGCTGAAGAGAAAGTGACAGCAGAGTCTATTCGTTCAGAGAAGTTTGAGATGGACCATCCAAGTGTTAATGTTGTCACGGCCATAGATATTGAGGCTACTTGTTTTCCAAAATATGGAAATGAAGCCACGATTGAAGCTTTATTCATGGATGATGAGACTGAGGCTCCAGAGGACAAGGAAGAAAAGGAGTCTAAGGCAGCAGAATGTGAAGGGAAGTCTGGAAGAGTCGAACCAGTACATGAAGTACATATGGACACAGAAGAGAAGTCAGAAGGTGTGCATAACAGTTTGGGTATGTATGACCATGGACTGGCATCTGGCAAAAACCAAAAGGAAATCGAAACTGAAAATCTTGCTTGTAGTAAGAAAACTGACCTGAGTGAGCCAACTGATATGGAGAATGCTGGGAAGGAAAAGGTAACTAGAGGGAAAAAAGGCCCGTTCAGTAAAACTAAGAAAAAGATTCTTCCTACTGTCAGAAAAGTGACAAATTCTAATGAATGTAACGACGGGGAGGGGGCCAAACATGAAAAGAATAATAAGAAGACAGTAACAGAGAAAGTGAGCATGCCGTATGCAGCATGTGAATCTAAAAGAGCTGTGCCTGCAAATAAGTCAGAGGACTCTAATGCAGCAGAGAAGGAGAACAGGCCAACCGGTGTTGGAGATCATTTGGGGAGTCATGGCAAACAGCGGGCTGGAAAAGTGCCTTCAAAATCTAAGATGTCTCTGAAGAACGATATAAAGGTTGGTGGGATGGACTTGGGTTCAGTGCAAATGGGACGGACCACAGAAGTGAAAAAAGAATCTGCATGGTTTATATTGAGTGGGCATAAACTACAAAGAAAGGAGTTCCAGCAGGTTATTAAGCGCTTGAAAGGAAGGGTATGCAGAGATTCTCACCAATGGTCTTATCAGGCAACACACTTCATTGTTCCAGATCCCATACGCAGAACTGAAAAGTTATTTGCTGCTGCTGCAGCTGGAAGGTATGAACTCATCGATTATCTTTACTTTTCAATGGCTGTTCAATTTCTCAACATATTGAGTCTTTAACAATTAAGCTGAAGATTGAGCATTCTCATCTGAGTTCCTTACACTTGCCTAGAATTGATACATGCTATTTTTACTTCTAAAGTGATTCTCCATCAAATGCAGGTGGATTCTGAAGACTGACTATTTGGCCGCTAGCAACCAGGCTGGAAGATTCTTGGCAGAGGAGCCTTATGAATGGCATAAGAATGGCCTAAGCGAAGATGGTGCAATCAACTTACAGGCTCCAAGGAAGTGGCGCCTTTTGAGAGAGAAAACAGGTCATGGTGCATTCTATGGAATGCGCATTATCATATATGGAGATTGCATTGCCCCTCCTCTGGTATATCTCAGTTGTCGTTGGTCTACAATTGTTATTCTTATTCTAATACTGGGACAGCTTTTGCCATACAAGTAAATTATGTCTAGATAATTATCTTCATGCACGATGTTGTGCATTTCTTGGGATTGCTTTTCTTGTCCCTGCATTTTCCTTGTCTGCTTCTTGCTTGAATATATGCCACTTCTTTTCTCATAAAACAGGATACTTTAAAGCGTGTTCTGAAAGCTGGAGATGGGACAATCTTAGCAACATCACCCCCTTACACCCGGTTTCTTGAGTTGAGGGTTGACTTTGCCATTGTCAGTCCTGGCATGCCACGTGTTGATATATGGGTCCAAGAGTTCTTAAGAAATGAAATACCTTGTGTTTTAGCTGATTATTTGGTGGAATATGTCTGCAAGCCTGGCTACTCCCTTGATAGACATGTGCAATACAATACTCATGCTTGGGCAGAGAAATCCTTTAAGGACCAGGTAAATCGATTGGAAGAAGTTGTTGATGACTTGACACCATCAGAAGATCATGTTGATAACGATCTACCATGTCAAGTTTGTGGGTCTTGTGACAGAGGAGAGGTAATGCTGATCTGTGGTGATGAAAGCGGCTCCAGTGGCTGTGGTGTTGGTACCCATATTGATTGCTGTGATCCTCCCCTTGAGGCTGTTCCAGAGGAAGATTGGTGTTGTCCAAAGTGTAGTACGAGCAAAAACAGCAAGAACCCTTCAAAAAGTACCAAGAAAGGGAGCTCTTTATCAAAAAAGAAGTAACTTTGCTCTTTTGTAGCCTTTTGGCGTTTGTAGTTTTATTATTTCATCTAAAATTTGTACATTAAGCGGTAGCAATAAAATAAAGTTTATTGCATTTCGTCCAAATCAGTGTCATTACTATTGCAGTTATTCAAATCTGTGACTGACCTTATAGGAAGTTCAAACATATGGTCACTGCAAAACTGTATCGGTCCATTTGGGCTATGCGTCCCAAGCCACAACACTTGGGTTTGATAATGTAGAAGTTAGGTTGAATCCAATCTACATCTCCCTGATCTTTTTAACTTTAATTTCTTGCTCGTGTCTTAGAATATGCAACAATATTATAATATAAACATTTTGTGGGAAAAAAATTGTACAAATATACGAAATTAGATTGGGATTTTTGAAGTTTGATAGAGGCTACTCTTGCGTGGCATTAAAAGAAGGCACACCACTGCCCTGAACCATGCAGTAATACATTATGAATTAGACGAACCATCAGAATAAAAGAATCAATGGTACAAGGAATTTGAAGAGTAAGAAAAGGTGCGGAGTTAAATCATTGATTCGCGTTCTATTTATCGTTACATTGTTTTTACTATGTGGCTTATGTTTCTCTTTTGTTTTTTTTTTAATTACGAATTATTGTTACTTTTTTATTTCATATCGTACCACAAATTTAATAAAAAATTATAAAATGAGAGAGAACCGAACTTAAGTCGAGAAAGCTTCTTAACCCTCTAAGTCGTTGTAAATTAATCAACTCTAATGTTAAATGTCATGTTGGGTTAAGATTGTGTCATAAAAAGTTGTCATAACTGAATGTGAGAATTAAACCCGATCTCAAAACTAAAAGTTGGTAAAAAAATATAAAAGGGAAAGAGAAGGAAAGTTCGACCACCATCCAGCTCTCATTCTTTGCACTTACCCTTTCTTCTTCTTTACACATTGACAAATGGAAAATAACAAATAATCCGAGTTTTGTAACATGCATACAGCTTTTGACAATAACAGATTAACAATGTAGTAAGATGAAAGAGAAAGAAAAGCACACGATTCCGCCACATGGTGCCACTGACATCATCGTATCTGGCCACGACTTACTCCTCTTTCCAATGTTCCCAACATTCAAACATCTAATGTTATTTTCCCAAAACCCTTATGCTTCTTCACCCAAATTCCACTCCCCCCCCCCTTCTCCCAAACTATTTCAACATCTGCCCCTTTCTCTCACAATTACTCACTTCTGTTATACATTAAGCGGCCTTCATAAACCATACCCAAGACTCCAATTGTGAAGTGTGAACTCTGACTACTCAGACCCCAACAGAAAAAAAATAATAATAAAAATCTCAACATCCAATTTCTTGATAGGAGGTTTAGAAGTCAGAGATACAGTTGTTTGTAGGGGTGTGAGAGAGAGAGGCCTGAGAAGTCCTTACAAAGAAAATTGATACCCTCGTGAGAAAGTGTGCAGAAGCCCTTTTCTTTTCTTTTCTTTTCCTAGAAGAACAATATAACAATGGTTTTAAAGAAGATTTTATAAGAATATTATGACATTCACCTTCACATGTACATGAATCTAATGTATTAGAAGGAACGGAACAGAACAGGTAGCTAATAAGTATATTATTATGTACTTGTCAGAGTGACTATTGACAATTACTAAAGCAAATGGCTTTCGTTGTTTTTCATCTGTTTCCCATGTTGAAATATCAATTGAAAACACAAGAGATTGAGACGTGAAGGCATGTTTTCCACTTCCTCCCCACTAACCGCATCTTACTTTAATTAGAATTAGTTAAATCAATTAGAATAAAATTTAATATACTATTCTATAATATATATATATATATATATTATCAAGTATATTAAAATTCTAAAAAATTCAAGTTTTACTTAAAAATATACTACCATATCTATTTTTACATAAAATCTTAGTATAACTTAGAAAGACTATTGTGACTGAAGAATTATACTAATATAACATAAATTAATTTAAAAAAACTACACAAACGATTATTTTTTATTTTAGAAATAAAAGAGTTAAAATTTTCGACAAAAAAAAAATATACATGTAGGCATAATGTTATCTTTGTATATGAGATAAGTAATATTAGATTAATAAAGATTTTATGAACACTTTTTGGAAAATAGAATAATGCATATTTATTTTTAAGGGCAATATAATCAATTAATTTTATTTTTTTTTTTATAGAAATTGATATTTATATGTAGAGAATAGATAATTAAAAAAAATATTATGGATAATTTAGAGATTTAAAGACAAGGATATAATGATAATTTAAATATTTAATTTTAAAAGAATACAGTGATCTTTGCAATTCTTTATAAGAGTAAAATAGAGGTTCAAAATATTTTCATATTAAAGTATTTTTAGTAGTAGTAGTATAAATATAGATTCTGAATCAAAATTTGAGCATGTTAATTAAACATGTTATGGTAGAGTTGAGGTTCTCTCGCAACTAATGCAACCACCATAAGTCTTCCAAAAACTAATACTTCACGCTCCATCCTCCGTTTACCATTCGTGTTATCAAATTAAGTCATTTATGATATATTTTATAACCCATTATTTCCTTATCAAATTCATAACAAATTAACATGGTATAATTAAAAATGCTACCTCTACAGCCACACAACTGAACCCAATCCAGCTATAATAATAATGAAATGGTAGAAACTTGTTCATTGATTACTCGTGGCTTGTCCTGCAGTCCATTTACTTTCTGGTTGAAGAGAGACGCATGCTCCAAACCAAGAAAATTAGGTGCAGTAGGTTTGGCAATCATATTGATTGATTCTCAACCAACCCATATAAAAAGTACTACTGTAGATGCATAAAAAACAGAACTATTTTTCGCCGCCCAACCAAACAAAGTGATGGTTTTCGCTCTATATTTTGGTTGCTGCACTCCTCTGAACAGCAGAAACAGAAGAAGTTCGAACGCAAGAAATAGAACACCCAGTACAGAGCACTAATTACCTGGGCATGGTAGGTAATAATGATGGCAGGTAAAAGTTTGAAAAACAATGTCAAACACTGCGGATTGTTGTTGTTTTGAGTGCTGGTGGTTGGTTCCACCCATTCTTTGACACATCATCCAGAACTGCAACAATCTTAAACCTCACAAGCGTTTGGCTAGAAGAGAACAGAAAAAGAAAGATCCATTTCGAACACCATTGCCCCTGTTATATCAATCGCCATGGAATGGAACAAAAAGCAACTCAGAAAAGTTTTAGGGTAAATAACAAAAATTCTTAAGAAAACCTCGTGGAATCTCAGGCTTTTGGCTGTGTGATGGATAGATAAGCGCAAGCCTGACAAAAAGAAATAAAATACTCTGGCTAGAAGATGCCAAAATCATAGCTTTTCTACATCTGCAAATGCCAGAACTGCACTTACCTTTAAACCATTCTTCCAATTATTTATTTTTATGACGAAGAGTGTTGAATCAATTTATCCCCATCTTAATTATTTTTTTTTCCGATTCCCCTACAATAGTCAAAATTAAAAAATTGATGAAAAATGACACGAGAAATTGTCAAAATTCAATTGAAGACATTTAAGTTACCTTCAAAATTTTTTCAAAAAAAATGTATTTACCCTCCCTCCCATTTTAATTCTGAAAATTTTGAAAGGAAAGCAGAAAAAAAAATGACAAAAATTTAAATAGCTACTAAGAAAATCTTGACGTAGAAACTGGGTACTGAATCAACTCTGTACATGTAGGTAGATAGAAGTAGAACGAGGAGCAAGAAACAGTGAAAGAAAATGAAAATGAGGGGCAATTTTCCCGGCACTGGCAATAGTTAATTTTCCTTCTGTACAAACATAGGACAAGAATCGGATTTCCACGCCGGTGTACATCATCGGAAGAACTTCAAACCCTCATGGTTTGGTTTACTGTGGTTATTAGCATTAATCATCCTCATCCTCATCCTCGTCGTTAACAGCTCAATGCCTCATATTTCACTGGAATTGGACGACTGAACCCAGATTGAGATAGCAAATTTCCAACAACTGCAAGGTCTCTACAGAACACACCTTGAAACGCTGCCTCTGTTGAGACAGAGATTGTTTGCTGAACTTGCATGGCTTGTGCTGCTTGCAATGCAGCGGCAGCTTTCTTTCTCTGCTTCTCTGCCGCTTCCTCGTCCACGATTGTGGACATTAAACTTGTATAACCCTTCTGAACCAATCTATACAACAACAATGCAGACATCTTTGCTCTGTCCCTAACCGATTCTACATTCCGCTCATCCGCAAACTCACAACTATCGATAAAACTGATGGCCTTATCAGGTTTGTGTCTCAAAGTGAGCAGCAAATGAGCTCTCTCCAATTCGGATCTCGAACACCCTCGTCTTAGTCCAATCAAAGCGTAATAGTCCACATTCCTAAGCTCCCCTGAGGCAACCCTTTGCTTCAATTCTTGAATTTTGTTTGTCAGACAACATAGCTTGCCCGGAATTTCTCTGTACATCACATTTTGACGTTTCCAAGCCGAACCAGGAAATTTTCGGTCACGTAAAATGGAATTGTACAAAAGTTTCAAGTGCTCCAAGTCATGGAGGCAATCGGGCAAGCACCTAATGGTTTCAAACAGAGAAGCTCGAGTATTGAGGGCTTCAATACAAGATGGGTCTAAAGCGAGAGTTCGATTACAATCCGCTATAGACTCCGCAATTCGACCAGCGGATTTGTAAGCCGAAGCTCTGTGCATGTAACATTCAGCAAGAAAACCCTGGGGGGCTCCTCGGCGGCCATTGACGACCTTGGAGAAGTGTCTGATTGCTTCGGAGTAGAGACCAGCGTCGAGTGCAGCGATGGCGGCGGTCTTCCGGCGGAGAAGGAGCTTGATGTGGCTGAGGAGTTGGGAAATGCTCTCAGACTGTGTCCTTGGAGGGGTTTGCGTCTGAGGCTGGTGGTTATTATTGACTGTTAGTTCGCCGGAGAGTGGGAACTTGGTGAAGGAAAAGCTGTCGTCCGACCA